CTATGACACTAAGGGCCACTTTGCTGTTTATCGTATTACACCTGAGGAGGCCAAGTACAAGTTTTGCAAAGTGAGGAAGATCTTTGTGGGCATAAAAGGAATCCCTCATCTGGTAACCCATGATGCTCACACCATCTGCTACCCTGATCCCCTCATCAAGGTGAATGACACCATTCAGATCGAGTTGGAGACTGGCAGAATTACTGATTTCATCAAGACTGACAATGGTAACTTGTGCATGGTGACCGGAGGTGCCAACCTGGGAAGAATTGGTGTGATCACCAACACGGAGAGGCACCCTGGTTCTTTTGACATAGTTCATGTGAAAGATGCCAATGGCAACAGTTTTGCCACCCAGCTCTCCAACATTTTTGTAATTGGCAAAGGCAACAAACCATGGATTTCCCTACCCTGTGGAAAGGGTATCCGCCTCACCATTGCTGGAGAGAGAGACAAGAGAATGGCGGCCAAACAAAGCAGTGGGTGAAGTGAGCTCTAGGTGACATGATTGGAAAAGTCTTTGTAGTTAATTAAAAATAATACAGCATGGAAAAAAAAAGAGTGAGAAGAAGGTTTTAAATCATAATTATTAGAGTAGGGAGAAAAAATAAGATAAATCTGAGAGATATTAAAGATGTAGTTATTTTTTTTACTAGAAATTGGTACTACTAAATAAAACGTTGTACCAAAATAAGAGGATATAAAAAGTAGGTCGTATAGAAGTTAAGAGATGTTAGAATGTGGAGTTTGAAGGTAACCATTTGAATTCAGTAGACACTGTAATTTCAAGCCTGGTACTGAGAGCAAAAACTGAGCTCCAGAAATACATTGGGAAACCATCAGCTAATGCAGGGGTGGGCAAACTTTTGGACTCAAGGGCCACAATGGGTTCTTAAACTGGACCGGAGGGTCAGAACAAAAGCATGGGTGGAGTGTTTGTGTGAACTAATATAAATTCAAAGTAAACATCATTACATAAAAGGATACGGTCTTTTTTTTTTTAGTTTTATTCATTTCAAATTTTGCCCACGGCTGAACTAATGGAAGGTACGTGGAACTACAAACATAGACTTTAGATTGCCTAGTTGAAAGGATAAAGAATGAGAAGAAAAGAAACCTAAGAACAGAATCCTATCCTATGTAATAAAAGGCTAATATGCAAATTTCCCCCTTGGGAAATGTTTTAAAGAGTCCTGAACTCTGTACTGATTCGGAATCTGTGGGGGAAGATAAAGGATATGAGTTCGACCGATTGCTATGACATGTGCTGACCACAAGGTGGCGGCGCAGAATGAAGGAAGGCTCCATCCGGCAGCCAGCAGCCAGAAGCTAGGGGAAGAAAGGCCCCGAATGGCCCTGATTGCTGGCCAGGCCTAGGGACCCTACCCATTCACGAATTTTGTGCACCAGGCCTCTAGTTATACAATATGCAACATTTAAAGTATAAGCAAAAAGTAAAATTGTCCATGAAAGAAACAGAGTAATAGCCTGAAAGGTAGAGGAAATGATGAGAAAGGGGTATCACAGAAACCAATAGAGAACAACATTTTAAGGTGGAAGTGGCTGATGACAAGAGCTATAGAAGGGCTGAGAAGTGCTAATTAACATTAAAAATTAGGTGGTCACTAATGAGTAGAAGGGGCAGGAGCCAGTCTGCAATGGGTTCAAGAGTAAATGGGATATGAGACAATCTTTGAAGATGCTTGAGGAAGTCACAGACCAAGAGCAAGAAGGGCAAGATTTGGTAGACTAATGAGAACTATACATTAACAGTCATAAAAGTTTGTCCACTGACTGACTTAAAATATAAATACAATCCACACTTATTTTAGTTAAGAATTCCACACTTTTCTTTGGCATCTGGGTTATCACATTGTTCTCTCATTCTCTGTGCTTTGTTGAAAAGAAAAATAGGTGCAATGGGAAAAGTAATTCACACTGGGTACAATATATGTTCAACACTTTACATGTATTGTACGTGCTTGTAAAACTGTAAATTGTAGAAGAATGAAAGGATAAAATGATGGTCAATTAGGAACTTCCTCTTTTCTTCAGATTCATAGAATTTAAAAAGTATTTTCCTTTTATTATCAACTAGAGGCCCAGTGCACAAAATTTGTGCACCGGGAGGGGGGGGATCCCTCAGCCTGGCCTGCACCCTCTTGCAATCCAGGACAGCTGGCTCCTAACCACTTGCCTGCCTGCCTGCCTCATCACCCCTAACCACTCTGCCTGCCTTATTGCACCCCTAAACACTCTGCCTGCCTGCCTGATCGCCCCTCACCACCTCTGCCTTGGGCCCTGCCACTGCAGCTTTGTCCGGAAGGTTGTTCGGCTGTCCGGTCTAATTAGCATATTACACTTTTATTATTATAGACTAGAGGCTCGGTGCACAAAAATCCGTGCACTAGTGTGTGTGGGGGATGGGGGGGAGGAGAGGTCCCTCAGCCCGGCCTGCTCCCTCTCATAGTCCAGGAGCCCTCAGGGGATATTCTCCTCTGCGGGAGGCAAATAAGCCAATCAGGAGAAGGAACTGCCCCCCTCACCCTGCTGCTCCTGCAACTGCTGGCCGACGCAGCTGCCAGCTCTAGGCCCTCACTCCTTAGTGCTGGCCCCACCCCCTGCCCACTGGTGGGTGGGGGGCGATTTGGGGCCAGGCCAGCTGGGGGTGGGGCTGTGAGATGTTGAGGCACAGCAGGTCGCACCCCGTCCAGCCTCTGTGGAGGCATGGCGCTGGGACCAGCCCTCACAGCTGCCTCTGTGGAAGGGGCAGCACTGGGACCGGGACCACACAGCCCTTTCTCCTGCTGTCTCTGTGGAAGGGGCCGTGGTGCTGGCCTTCTCCCTTCTCCCTTCTCCTGCGGCGCCAGCTTTCTCCCTTCTCCTTTCTCCTGTGGTGCCACCTTCTCCCACTGCCTCTGCAAAAGGGACCAGGGCACTGGACAGGCCTGTGCCGCAGCCTCTCCCACACTGCCAGCCCTTGGCCCGCACAGCTGCCACGGCTGCCAGCCCTTTGCCCTTGCAGCTGCTGTGGCTTTGTCTGGAAGGATGTCTGGAAGATGTCCAGTCTAATTAGCATATTACCCTTTTATTAGTGTAGACTAGTAGCCGGGTGGACGAAATTCGTGCAAATTAAAAGGGAATTAATTGCCCTAACCGGTTTGGCTCAGTGGATAGAGCATCAGCCTGCAGACTCAAGGGTCCCAGGTTCGATTCCAGTCAAGGGCATGTACCTTGGTTGCGGGCACATCCCCAGTGGGGAGTATGCGGGAGGCAGCTGATTGATGTTTCTCTCTCATCGATGTTTCTAACTCTCTATCCTTCTCCCTTCCTCTCTGTAAAAAGTCAATAAAATATGTATTTTTAAAAAAAAAAGAACTACAAAAGCAAGTTGAGGTTGCGATGGATGCTATGCTAGATGAAATACCAGTGAATAT